GCAACACTTGAGCCAAATGAATATTTGTTGCAATACTAGAGAATTATCGAGCAAGCTAATAAGTTACGATAACTACATTTTCATTTATCATAACTTTATAAATTCTCCTTTGGTTGGTTTCATCAAACCGAAGTATTCAATCTGTTTTACCATCAGCTAAATAATATCTAATTAACCTGAACACATAATTAAAGCGTTGATACTAGAAGCCGGTAGGCCAACAGAAGCAAAACATCGCAGACCAGTAAATCAACCATCAGAGAACTCAAAAAAGTATAATAAATGATGTCTAATGACTACTGCACAACAGGCTGGTTTCGTGACTTACTAGTTTTTAATGAATAGAGGTTTGGGTGCCAGTGTGCATACTATTACTCACTAGAAAACAAGTTCAAACAGATAACAAGTCCCGAAATGAAAGAAGAGCGCTCCCAGTGCTAGCCACTGTCAAACAAGTAATAAACACACTTTCTCATATTGATTAACAGCATTAAATTATTATTATTTCCTTTAATTCCTAGAGGAACATAGGTCTTCACCCAAACGTCTCCATTGTCTTCGGTTCTCCACCAACGTCTTCACCCCGCTCCAAGTCTACACACACGCTTTCATCTCATCTTCACATCACCTCCTCCAAGTCACCCCACCCTCGAACTGACGATCAACTCGCCGCCCGCTTCCCTTTCGGGTTCCACTCGAGCTATGGCCTGTCTAGTGATGTCACTCACTTGATGCTTTGTTTCCTCAGAGTATGGCCAATCTACCTCCATTTCTTCCGGCTTATTTGTTGCACAATCGGTTCCTGTTGTGTTGGTTCGCTCACTACCAGAGATCCCTCCCTATTGGTGATCTTTTCTGGCCGACCGGCCATCTGATCTTGAGTAGTGTTGAGCGAAGACAGCTGTTGATGAAGGTCTGTAGTTTGTTTCAGGTGCTCTTTATGACGCGGAGTGCAAGTCTCTGATGCGTATAGTCAAGTCAGTAGGACTGACTGACTTCACATTGGAGTTGAAAATCCGAACTCTACTTTCATTTTGATGCTGAGTGCTGTTGACCTCCACACAGACTTGAGAGTAATGAAAGCTTGTCTTGCTTTCCCGATCCTTGGTTTGATATCCTCGTCAGTTCCGTCCGCCTGTATTTGAAACGATGCTTCTCAGCACTAAACTAACGCGACCCAATTAGCCTACATTAATGCGTCGACATGGCCTACAGTCCGATCCTGATCCTGTAACTAACTCACACTGTTCAAGTTAGTCCTCGTTCCTACGTTGTTATAATAGGTTTGTGGAACTTTTTTTCTCACTTAATGCATGACATTTTGATTGTTTCACAAGGTTTTTGCGTTGTTTTTTTGACACAGATATATCGTATTGAATATAGGCCTGGCAGTTAAGTATACGATACGCTTTTAGTCCCGTTTAGAAGTTAGAATATGGATATCTCTATATTACAGCGACTATTGGTATTCCTATTGAGACTCCTATCCAGTATTCAAAAGGTTTCAAAAGGGAAGAGCTACTGAGCTGGGAGAATCGTTTTCATGCTGGCTAAAGTCAGTCAAATAACAGTAAGTTGAAAGCGAGAGTATAACTGAGCACAGCATTCCAGTCAGCAGCCCATACATATTCCAGCAAGAACTGATTATCTCGGTTCTGTAAAAGCGAACAGCAAGAAATTCACAAGTTCCAATAATTATCTACGGAATATGCTTGCTTATTATTGTCTTTGTTTTTCAACTAAAGGGGAAAATTATAAACGCGCCAGTCAGTCACACTACTACACGTGCCCTCTCCTTCTTTTTCTTTTTTTTTGTTACGCGTCTGTTTACTCTGTGCACATGACTAATCGGAAAGAAACAAAATGTTTACACGATGAACAAAAAAAAAAAGACGAAACTCAAAAAACGTAAATAAATAAACAAATAAATGAATTCGGATGAACACAGTAAGCTTGAATAAACTCTTCTCCTATTTTTCGGTGTATTTTTTAAGTGGATTAGTATATTTATGAATGTAGATAGGAGACATTTCTTCCTCAAAATGAAGAATAAACACAGTCATATATATATATATATATATACAAACAAATAAATACGAATGAATCCACATAACCTATCAATATAACCATGGTTACGTAGAGTTAGAGAATAGGTTTCTCTTTCCTCTCCTTTTTTTTACATTTTCTTTCTGTCCAAAAACTCCGTAATCTTAATCGAATGTCTGTTTATTATTTTTTTGGACAAGGTAGTTTTATTTGGTCCACCGAATGACCTTGAGTTATTGATTGGATTTTGTTGTTGTTGTTGTATTTTTCTTCTTTAAATATTCCTACTAAGTGATATTATTATCATTATGATTACTCTAATTTTTGTAAACAAACAGGCGAACAAAGTGAAATGCATAAACAAGTGTAAATAAAAACAAAATGAATCTTCTTCTTTTTTGTTTTGTTTTAAGAAGGATTCTATGATAACCTGAATTTGAATGTCAAGATAGTGTTCTTGGTATGAATCAATCAGCGGGTACTTTTGGTATGATCTGCTTACCTTAGTATGAATTTCTATAGATACAGTCAGAAATGCAGTTGTCTTGTTCGTATTTTTTCTCCTATTCAAACTTTAATGGTTTAATGTAGTAGTATTTTGAATAACTGGTGATGATCAAATGAGTACGTGGAGTCCATCCAATTTTCCGTGTGAAAAAAATGGATATTTTAACGAAACTCTATTCAGGAAGAAAATCCACTCCAACAACTATATCGATTTTGGATTATCACATGCCAATAGCACAAAGGTATCAGTTGTTTCAAGTTTTCTTAGACGAGCACACTCTTTGATGTTAATGGATGAGAAGGAAAAAGAATAAGAAATATCAAACACATTACTGAGACTTACAAGTAAAATAACCTACCCTTGGAATATGATGCGAAATACATCGGATAAACATCGCGAGAAATCAAGGTGATCAGAAGAAATGAACACCGTAGAGAATCTGCTTGACCATTGAGAAATCCAGCTGAACTAGAAAAGCTTTAAAAATCAACAGCTATACGTCTACATGCTATACTTACTTTACTTTACTTCAGCTATCTCCTACGGGAGGATGAGGCGGCTACATGAATATCTCGAATCATCGCTGCCCAGGCGCGGCGATCTGATGCAAAGTTTTGCGACAGGGTTATCCAATTCTTGTTTCACAGATGGAGTCTGTAGACGGTTTGTAACCCCAGGCACTCCATATCAGCCTTGACTGTACCAAGCCATGTTTTCAGTTGTCCACCCCTGCGACATCGCCAAGATGGAAATGGCGAGGGTCTTAGAACTGATTTGACCAGATCGTCATCTGGTCGGCGCAGAACATGGCCAAACCACCGAAGGCGACGTTGTTGGACTAGTACTGGAATTTGGTTGATGTTGTAGAGAGTTCATGAAGTTTCATGAGAATTAGGTACGAGAGATGTCCCCAGCATCGCTCAGCCTTTTGTTTGAGAGTGCAGCTCTAGCCTTTACACAACCAAGTGTGACCTACAAGGCAGTAGGAGTGGAGTAGAGAGTCCATTATCCATTGGCAGCCGGTGACCAGTGTCCGGTTCATACGCCTTTTTGAATTGGGCCAAACATCCAGGGCATCCAATAAGCCCTTTGTCCATACGTCTGCCGGTGAGCTCCGGTGAGCTTCATACGCCAGTCGTTGGAGGTTTGGAATCAGGGTTTAGCCATCTCCCTAGACTGTCATCCAATGGACAGTCAACCCGGTGAAGAGCGCCGGGCATCCGCTTTTGCCCTCTCACTTCGGTGAAAAACACCTCCGCCACGTGAAGGCAGTGAGTAGGACTTCCTCAGGAGTGGCTTTGTAAGACGCCCGGTCATATGGGAGCATTTCAAGAGGTGTACGGAGGGATGGCCAACCCGCAGCGCAAGGCATTCACCCCCGGCCATCCTAAGGCTTTGGAGGCCTCTACATGCCATAGGATCAGACAATATTGAAACCATCTAGCAAAACTTCAGAAGTCATGAAGAACTTGCTAATATCAGAATAACTTCATATTGAATGGAATCTAAACTGTTTGAACAGGAATTGTGGACTAAGACAGGATATAAACTGGTAGCAACAACCATCCCCACCCCCAATAAAGTTACAAAATTAACAGAAATATATGGTGAGCGATTTTCATTGTGTCGACACATGATTCTGTTATCTTTATCAACTGACCAATTACCTCATACTGAAGAATGATGATTATGTTTCTGTATATACGCTGACATTTTGTAAATTATGTTTTAATAATACTTTAAATCATATTCAAAATTAGCAATTCGCAATCTAAACAGTTCCAGTGGTGAAATTTCATCGTAGTCTCCTTCGGAAACCGAGTTATTCAGATCACAATATACGATCTGCTTGATCCCATAGACAACAATCAAGAATGCAAGCATAAATACGTAAAACTATATACTATTGACCGATTGAGATGGGTGGCTGTATGCCACTTATACCGATCAGTAGTGCTTGCTAGGTGATCTATATACCTGACGGCCGTTTCTCTCGTTTCGGGATGAATTCATCGGTAAAAGATGACGGACGGTGGGCAAGCACTACTGGATGGCATTAGTGGTATGCGACTACTCATCTTAATCGATCATGGGAAACTACATAGGCTTTTATGATAACAAATCTAATGCTAAATAAGCGGAACTCATTTTAGCCACAAGGAACCAGTAATTAATTGCTTTCTTTCAGTAGTTTAAAAATAAGCCCAATAAACATTAAGCACATAATTATTGATTTTCTGTGAAAAAATTTAGGATCGTCACGTCTAGATTTTCACTTCTACAGTATATTAATCCAGAGGGCGTTGTTTCAAATCCTCCTGCTTCACCTCCAATCATCACACTTTGTATACGTACTGAAATAAAGAGGATTTGTGCATCATGTGTGTTGTTCTTGTGTTGTGACCGAACATTCTCTAAGCTTGTAATGACAGAAGGCAACAGTCAAGCAACAGGTCGTTTATTAAGGAAATCAACACATATTTATAGATTTTCATGTACATATTATAGATTATTGTTAGCAGAAAAACACAGTCCTCTGATTGGTTGTTTCTCACGGAAAGTTAACCTTGCATCTCTTTGTGGCTGTTTCTTGAATGTCAGACCGTCTGTATGTTAACTGTATCCGCCTACGCAAAGCCTTTGTTCTCATTTTCCTCACATCCAATATTCGGGACATAAGCATTAACGTAAATTACTGTCCACCAACTTTGGCTAACAGCCAGCTCTCACCACAAGCTGATTGGTTTGGTTGGAAGGCTTTCAGTTTATTTCTCGATGAAACCTTTGAACATGAAACACACGAAATACAAGAAACGACTATGATTACTGTAACAATCAATTAATGTCATGATAATAAAACAGCATAAGTCATTCGTTGTGTATCGGGGGCACAGCAGTAGAATGCTTACCGACCACGCATGTAGTCGGGCGTTCGATCCCCTGCTGACGGATTTCTTTACCTCACCAAGCTAATAACAAGACTGGTAAAGAGGAAAGCTTTGGAATGAGGCTAGCAACCCCATCACGTAAAAATAAATGCCACTGCTACCGAAACTTCAAGCCTCCAGCTTGAAGCCTTAATTTCCACTAGGAACGTAGAGGAGTAAAAAGAATAAATGATTCACTGTGATTTTATACAGTTCTTTATATTACTTCAAACAAACAAAAAACAAACATGTTTATACACGTGAATATACGTAAACAGTGAGCTAATCAGATGTCCAAACCAAGTGCACTTTTAACAGTTTGATTAGAAGGCAAACAGTTACTTGAGTATAATGATCTCTGGAGAAAGTATTGATTACATTTCAGTCACAGTTGTCAACAACGCGTAAGTGCAAATTACATCTGGCACATCACTACTAATTGATGCTTTTTTGACTTATCTTTCTGCAGTATTCCAAGTGTTTTGTAAAGAAACACCATTTAGTCACATTTATGGTGGTTTAGTTTCTATTTGTAATAAGTTACCGTAATATAAATTATATCAGGACACAAAGTATTTACATTTGCTACTAGGTTGATTATGGCTAAAATAGTAATTTGGACGCTACTGATCTGAAATCTTCCCCAAGCCATATGTTCACTTCACCACTAATCACCTTTCCTACTAATAATATCAAATCAGCTTTTTTTCCTGGAAATTATGTTTAAACACGATACATAATTTTCAGTGTAATTTCTTGTAGAATATTTACTTTTTACGAGTTGATCACGGATTGATATTAGTTAGAGAACCATTGAAAACCAGGTAGTACTGGACAGCCAGCTGTTTCATCCTATTTTGGGAATCATCGGCAGTACGCACTTACTAGGGTTCGAACCCAGGAAGAGTGGATGTCCCGCGTACGACAATGGTTGGGGTCGCCCTAAATCATGAATCGGTAGAAGTTAGAATTTATGCACTGGCCATTGAATCGGGTCTCAGTGGCTGAATGGTATACGAGCCAGCTTGCATTGTAACTGGAAGGTGCTGGGTTCAAACCCCAGTGGGTGCGTACTGCCGATGATTCCCAAAATAGGATGAAAAAGCTGGCTGTCCAGTACTCCCTGGTTTTCAATAATTCTCTAACTGATATCAATCCGTAATCAACTCGTAAAAACACTAACTAACCCTTACAAACCGAATTATAGAGAATATTTACTCCCAGTATAGAATCTTCACATTAAATATTTATCCACGGTATGTGTCGTATGACGTAACGTCATTCTGTCTAAAATAAGACCCAATCCTTTACGATTTTGCTCTTCATTTTATCCCTGAAGTATACAGTAATTGGTTTGAAGCCAATTAAAAATTCACATGAGTTCATGTTACGATACAAGGAAGATTAAAATGATGAGCAAGGAAGAAAAGTAGACGCATAATCCTGGATAGCAATTTATGTATCCCATCGGATTAAGCAGACTGCCAATTATATAAACAGTAGTTCAATAATTCAAGGCTATCCTAGACAGTTGCATAAGCAAGTAAAAATAAAATTATTTAAACATTATGAAATACTGTGATTAAATTAGAGCATAACTCATCATAATGGAAGGGGCTGAAGGAATTAATTGATAGCAACACACTATCTGAAATCGCCTTTACGTACTGTCATCATAAAATTGCCAGACTCACCTCAGAGTAATGTCTTACCTTGTCTGTCTTGCCCTTTCAGATTCTGGTTCTGACACTGTCATAGGTGCAGTATGCTTCCTAGATAAGTGGATGAACAGACCTCCTCCTGTTAACAGTGATTGGTGCTTCTTGTTATTTTTGGTTGACTATCTTCATAATCTCTGTCTCCACCTTCTCTGTGTTCAGTCGAAGTCCTGTGCTTACCGCCTGCCTCTTCTGTCACCCACCTTGTTGGTTTTCGCCTGCAAGTCTTCCATTTTGTGTGATATTAGACATAAATCACTGACGAAGTCCAGATCTTCTAGAGTCTACTAATCGATGAGTGCAGCGTATTCCTGTCTTCTCGCTCCCCACTCACGATATGCCATATAAGCGTCCAGATCACAGTAACTATGAAAACCATTGAGAGTGATAGTAGGCAACCTTGTCTTACTCTTGTCCTGACTTCAAACGCCTCACTGAGTTTTCCGTTGTGGATCACTTGACGCATCGTAACGTTGTCTGTCATATAGTTGTTTTTTTCTTTACTCAATTAAGCATCACACGAGTGCAAACAAGATGTGATAAATTAAAAGAAGCTGATGGTTTTTTTTTTTTTGACTGTATACGCATTAAAGAAAACACACTAATTCAACTAATTAGCATAAAGTGAATCAAGTTATTGATAATATTATCTTGTTTACTTGTTGGTATGCTTTACCTACTATTATCGTTTTTGTTGTTTTTGTTCTATTTATCTGACTCACAACAGGTGGTTGGATTTACATCTAGATTATAAATGTTTTCATTGTAACAATGAGTGTATACTCTTCTTTTTTATTTAAAAGAAAACAGATATATAGCGTAAACGCTTAGATATATAGATGTAGAGACACACAGAGAGAAAAGGTTAACGAAGAGATGAAAAAAGCAATTAGAATTATTCAATACTAGAATTACAGGTGTCTATTTGTATGATAAATGCACTGAGAATACGATTTAGAGTAGAAGAAAACAGTACCACTTTGTTTGTCATACTTGTGCATGAGTGTATGCGCGTATATCTGTGTCCGTGTGTACGCGTGTATGTTAATCACAGAGATACTATAACTATAATAGAATTAATCATTGTTTATACAAAGGTTTCCTGTGACATATGAAATAGTAAGTCTAGTTTCAGTGTAGATTTTGTCATGAACCGATATCAGGCAGAGAATCACTGAGAATCAAAGCGTGATGGATAATTGTTTCGTCATGGTTTGAGGTTCTTCGTCAGTTGGAAATCATGACACCAACATGCTGCAAACCTAGAATCTTCAAATCATAAAGCAAGTATGCCAGGTATCCAGTGTCGTGTATATTCCAACTCCTGATGGTTTGTTGTATATTTGACGTCACTGCTCGAAACTAGGAGTAGAAAAGTTGTTAAGTGGTTTATGGTTTTCGATAATACTTTTTTCTTATTTTAATGTATGTTAAATATTTAAATACTCAGTTGCGTCAATCTATTTTATTAAGTTCTCTTACAGACTTAAGGTAAAAGCTGTTGTCTTTTCCATTCATACACCAATTTTTTCCCATTTAGGCTAACAGTATTGTTTTAACATCTGTGAAGTAATATCAACTTATGTTGTTTAATTTCCATTTCTTCACTACCCTATAGGTTGTTTCTCTTGTTATGCATAATACAATTTCACTAGAATATAGTACTCACTTCGGCGATGCATATACTAAAATTTGAACTATGCAGAGAAGATTAGCATGCCCTCTGCACAAGGATGACAGGCAGAATCGTGCAGCCTTCCGCATTTTTTCGAGGGTGACATTGCGGAGATCGTGTGAAGAGATGCGAGCTTATTAACAATCGTGAAGCCAGCTAAAGAGGATTGTAGAGAGCAGGACAAAGTGAAGATGCACTGTCGAAGCCCTATGTTCCACTCGCAACCCGAGGGAATAATAACAATAACATATTACTATTTCATCATGAGCTGACATTAGTTAGAGGACCATTGGAAAACCAACTGGGAGTACTGGACAGTTGTTTCGCCCTAGTTTGGGACTCTTCATCGGTACCCACCCACCCGACTGCAGTTCGAACCCAGGACCTTCTGGTTACAAGGCGAGCTCGCATACCATTAAGCCACTGGGACCCAATCCAATGGCTAGTCTTTGAATTCTAACTTCTGCCAATTCACAACATAGCGCGACCGCTAACCAATGTCTTCAGCGAGTATTTGTCCTCACACCCGACCTGCTGCACCCTACTAGTCACGAAGTTAGAATTCAAGGACCATTGGATCGGGTCCCAGTGGCTGAATGGTATACGAGCCAGCTTGCATTGTAACCGGAAGGTCCTGGTTTCGAATCCCGGTGGGTGCGTACTGATGAAGAGTCCCAAACCAGGATGAAACAGTTGTCTGTTCAGTACTCCCAGTTGGTTTTCCAATGGTTCTCTAACTAATGTCAGCTCATGATGAAATCCTGTAACCAATCAACCAAATCCCTACAAACCAACACTTGAACATATTACTATTTTTTGAATTTCCCATCAAATATAAACACCTTTAGAAAACGGTACTACGTCGCTTTTCTTCCTTCCACTAAACACCGTTCATCATACTAATTCATTTAATTTCCTCAAAAAACATCCCATGTTAATTTTGAAAGTACAAATAATGTGGAGTGAACATGCAACTTCATTAAATTCCCAATTAATATTCAGCCTTTAAAACATGGCCCGTCTTTGAAGAACATATTATATGCTCTGCCATAAATTTTCCTTTTGATTAAAACAAAAAAAGACACTTGTTCAATGTCCTACGAAATTAAATACATAATTGTAACACTATGATTACTAAGCTCCGTAGGCTTCATCAGTATTTAATATAAAGTAGACAAAGGATTTCTATTTTGCATAAATGCAAATATAAAATTTATTCTAGAGTTGTTTTTGTGTGTGAAATTGAGTTTACTTATTATGAATGACTACAAAAATTCCGGAACAGCTAAATATAGTAATTAATACTACCCACACTATTTATCATACACCTAAAGAACATATTTATGTTATTTATGTTGATACCTCCCTGAGCACAATTAGAAGATGAAAAATTACAGAAATCAACTTAAGAAGGAAATAATTAAATAACTAGCTCGACATAAATTATGACGTGACATCCTAC